AAGTTTTGGCAATTATAGAAATTATTGTGTTCGTGGCTTTAACCCTTAGCACTCTACATATCAATATTACGTTCCTTTCCACTTACTTTTTCAAGGCCTCTCAATTGCATTATCCTTATTGCTAATTTAACTAAAGATTGTTTTCTGTTGCCATAGCAGGATATGACAACACAAATAAAATTCAAAGACATTATTGTTCAGGGATCAGAGTTACCTTCAGTGGCAGGATTAACTTTTTGCACAGCAAATGAAGTCCCATACAGAGTAATAAAGGTTAAAAACAAAAACAAAAAAAAACATCTGTTCTAATTTAGACAGTAAAACAAATTTTAAAGAGTTATTTATACCAGAAGTCCCCAACCACCGGGTCGAGGACTGATTCTGATCCGTGGATCATTTGCTACCGGGCTGCGAAGAAATAATTAACTTGTTTAAAATTATATAATAGATAACTTGAATGTTAGACTTTAATTTAAAAAGACTTATATTCATCTACACAATACTATCATAACTGTAAATACATTTTACAATTAATGTATATTTTTTATCTATTTGTAATAATTTCCAACTAATTTTCAGATTCTACTTTATGGTGATGTGATAAAAGTGTAATAGGTATAGATACAGGGAAACTAAGCACGCAAGGGCGTGGTTGGGTTGGAGCCCAGACATAAGTTTCCTTTAATAAATTACTCTTTTTATTGTTGCTCTCTTTATTGAAATGCACTTAAATTACACATACATGCCACTACAAGTCCGCGGAAAGGTTGCCCGGTATGAACCCAGTCCGTGGTATAAAAATGGTTGGAGACCACTGATTTATACTAAATTACTAAACCCCACTTGGACATTTCATATACCAAAGTAAAAATAGAGGCTTAATTAAAATAAAATAAAATAACCCACCAGATTAGAGAAAAGTAAATTCTTTATTTTTTTTCTCTCAAAATTTTGATTATATAAATAGTAATTTAGAAAAAAAAAAAAAAAAAAAAAATCAAATATGGAGGGAAAACTGATGTTTGCCTCAATCTAAATATTTTTTCGATGCTAACAAATATGGCCGTTTACTTCAAGCTCACCTATGTTAGCTTCAATTCGAAAACTTGTGAAAAAGAAAGAAAGAAAGAAAAAAATGTTGGTTTAGAATCGGCTGCCATGTCGCTTGCTACGTCTCAACTTACTTGCAGCCTTCTGCGAGAGAAGGCTAAAAATGGATGGAGCCGAGTGGTTGTATGATTCACTGCGTAAAGTGTCAGGTAGAACGCTAGGTTGCTACTTTCTAAAAATGGCTGCCCGGGACCGGAGCAAGCTAAATACTAAAATTAGATATTACGTCGTCTTTATCAGAACCAAAAACAGTTAGATGTAAAAGAAAGATGAGAATTTTTTCGGGATACAGCATCGTTGCAATGATTAACAAGAGCAAACGACACAAACTGACGAGATTATTTCTTTGTTTAAAATATAAGGACTGGAAAGGTCTGGTACAATCTTGAAATTCTTTTTTTTATCGCTGTCAAATTCTGACGTTTAGAATAATGGAATGATTCAATGAACGTTATATTTATATACACTATTTCCCTGACATTGAGCAGTTTTCTCCCATAAATATAGTCTACCTTAAAAAAAAAAAACACATTATATATATATATATATATATATATATATATATATATATATATATATATATATGAATGAATTATATTAACACAGTATGAATTTATTTGAAAAATTTTCGTTTAAATTCAATCGATAAGGTCTTTCGAATTTGTTAAAATCACTGTTTCGTTGAATATTCTAGTAAAACGTCTATTTGTGTTAAAATTTTCTCTGAAGACTTCAAGATTTCATAAATGAAAAACTAGTAACGCGGCTTATGAGAAATTTTTAACATGAAAATGTCTTGAGTGTGAAAATCATGTGACGTCATATTTTCTTTTGATTGTTTGGAAGATGTTATAGCGGGATGGGGTGGACGAGAAGAGGGAAGGAAATCAGCTAAAGTGTTCCAAAGAGAACGCTTTTTTTTCTTTTTCAATACAAAAATGGAATGATTACATCGCATTTCTTATGACAAATGCTGAAACGGATAAAAATGGATTAGTCTTTATTTGTGAACGAAATGAAATCTCAATGGAAAAAACGTGTGAGGCGAGAACGTGAGAAAAATGGCTATATTTTCGCATCTGCAACTTGAATGGATACAATGATTATGATATTGTTTAAGATCCGAGCGAATATCTATTCGAAAATAAGAGCTTATGTCCATTATTCAGAAAACAGAGACGTTTATAGATTTAGAAATAATACTAGTGATTACAAATATCGGAGTTTTGGTTTATTTGTTCCCCTTCTGTCTTTCTATACTAACGTCCACTTAAGTCGCCGCTCAAGAGCCGCTCAAGGTAGAGCTACTGAATATAAGTAAAAGGAGGTGAATATCAAGAGAATAAAGAGGATAGATAGCAAATGACCCTTGACTTGAAAAGGTTAAAATTGTAGTTTTTAGGATAACGCGGGAGTGTTCCACAGAATAGCATTTCTCGGGAAAAATATGACCGAGTGGAACTTCCATAGAAATGGGAAATGGATTGGAAAGGATTCCGAGAGATCAACATAAGATTAAAATGGTTTATTTATATCCTCTGTAAAAAAGGAAAAAAAAAAAGAGAATATTTCTGACTGCACTTTAAAAATGGTGTCAAAATAATTGGGCCGAGTTTCTTTCGACGTTGCACTTACAGATTAAAAAACTAAGGAACAGAAAAAGGAATAAAAATCATCTAAAAGTTAATTATACTTTAAAAGGATAAGCTAATTTCATGATTGACAATAAATATCGACTTTGTGCTTCCATATTTCCATTTAATACAAAGGCCATGGAGTAATGTTTAGCGGCTCGGACTGAGGAATAAGAGTTCGAATTTCATTACATTCACTTACGTGCTAATACCGGAAAGGAATGAATCCATCTCGGACAACCGCCGCTATGAGTAAAATAACAGGACAAACTGTGACCTATAGGTTAGGATGGTGACCAGTCTGGAAGGAGGAAACCGGTCGCATTATCCTAAAGTGTGATACCCATACAGCCGAGGACCGCTTGTGAATCCAAATTCCCCAATGAAACTCCTTCGATGAATTTGCACGTCTAAGTTTGGTTAGTTTTCCTTCGAATGCGGCGGGTTCGTTTGACAGAGCCTGCTCAGTCGACCGGGTAAATTCCGTAACAGGTACACCTAGGTCAGGTAATATTCACAGCTTTATACGTTATTCTGAAATATTGACACGTGGCTGGAGTGGTTAGAACGTTCGCATTCTGACCATGAGACCCGGGTTCCTTTGACAGGGAGGAAACTTCCTTATGCTACCAAGACTGGAGGGGGGGTCGATCCCAGCGTGCGGCATCTTTGGAAAGTGCCTGAAAACCATACCACGGGTTGACTCAAGCCTTGTGAGTGAAACTGGGTAGACGGAACCCTTGGGTGCCGTCGATGACTGTGCTAGCACGAAATCACAAGTCATCGTGGCCGAAGGCTTGAGCGTTCTGGCCTTGTTCAAATTGTTGATCACGCTAGATACAACGCTCTTTCCCAGAAACTAACTAAGGTTTGCTCAGCATAGTTGCAGTATAAACCACAGGTGGGTTCTGTGGGTGTTGAACAAACACAAATGCACCTGAGAAAGCGTCTGCAAGCAGGGATTGGATAGCCACCCTAATTGACGGGTATCCTCGAAAACGAGTGGCCAGCTATATAAGACGTTTTTATGTTTATACATTTTTTTTTTTTATAGATACAAATATTTAAGTAAATGCTCTGTTTATAATAAACTATATTAACAACATTTACCGGCCTGAATGCCAGAGAAATTGTCATAGAAAATATGCGTCCTCCGACAGGAATCGAACCTGTATCCTACACGGAACCGTCATATAGCCTGACGTGCTTTTGCCGAATTCACCACAGAGGGGCGTTTCGGTTGGCAAGGTCGATTTTACTGTTTTTAAACTACAATTTTCCATGATTTTCTCACGTACATTCATATCTGCTCGATGCGTATCCAAATGTAAACAAATGACGTCACACATTATGAAATGGACAAAGTCTGACAATTATTTTAAGACATTTTTATGTTTATACATTTTTTTTAGAGATAAATATTTGTATCTATAAAAAAAAAAAAAAAAAAAAAAAACTTTGTCCATTATTTATATATATATATATATATATATATATATATATATATACACACACACTTTATTCTAAACGCTTTTATATACTCAAGCCCCCCCCACTTGACCAGAGAAACCGTCCAGAGTTCGGATTTGTTACATTTTTTTAGTATTCCTTTTGTAGTATGTGATTCACCCCAAGCAATACTAGAAATCGAACATCTGTATCGAATTTAATGTCAATCAGTAACCTTTGATCAAAGTGAAGTTGATCTGCGACAACCTCAATATATACTAGATTCACCTCAAGCGATAACAAGGTAAGCTTTGTCCTTGGTGTCACATCAGAACATCAAAAGAACTAGGTACGTCAGAGAGTTAACCTAGAAGGTAATTTCATAGCTACCAAGTAAGAATCGGATATCAAAAGATGTCGTGGGTGCACCTATACAAAAGCAATGTCAACTCAGCTGAACTTTGTACATACGCGCACAAGACAACCTAACAAGACGGAGATCGAGTGTTCGAAGAAAATTCCTGAAAAACCACATACCCTCGATTTGGCCGATGTCAACTTTATGGAGTCCAGACGTGACATTTTCCATATGGAAAATTTAGTTTCGTACTATCAGACGTTACTAATTTAATGCTACATTTTAATGTAAGTCAGCTTTCTTCGTAAGGAGAAGATTGTAAAATCTTTTATCAGGTATAATGGATGAGAGTGTTTTTTTCTATTGATGAATAAAGACTAATCCATTACAATGGATGAATAGAAAGATCAGATTAGGTTTTAAGAGGAAAACACGAAGAAAAATCTTACCAACGCATTGTTCATTTGATTCAAGAGACGATGATCACGTCCTCTGGACTGAGCTTGAAGGTCATAACTATCGTCCATCACGGCATTTGAAAATGCCTTTGCATCGTGGAAGCTGCCCATATGGTAACCGCTGTCAACTAAAATATACAAAAATAAAAATAAAACTTAATTCATGTATGTAATTAAGTAGATTTGTTTAACTTTCGCAAGGACTTTTCATTCATTTATTAACATACATTACAGTTCAAAGTTTTGAGGTCACCAATGACATTTTTTTTTAAATGGGGCCAAAAAGTAGCAATTGTGTAAACAAAATTATTATACATGGTTAAAAAAAAAAAAAAAAAAAAAAAAAAAAAGAAAAAAATTTATTATACAGGGTTAAAAAAAAATTATACATGGTTAAAAAAATTATTATACAAGGTAAAAAAAAAAATTGAGACATGATTTTTTTATCAGAAGTTTTATGACAAAACAAAAAAATGTATGACTGAATTTTGCTCTCGTCAAAATATCCTCATTTAGCCCTGATTAATGCAGCACAAATTTTTAACATTCGTTGCAAAAATCTCAAAATATCATTTTGATAATTGATTCCCTTTTTTCAGTGACTAAGAGCTCTTTCTCTTTTTTTTTTTCTTCACTCTTCTGTCAAGTTCATCCTATGCTAAATCTGGGTGTGGCTTCAATCTTTTGAACTGTAGTGTAGAATATGAGGAAAAAAATAATTTCATTTAAGAACAATTGTATTAGATATGACTCACGGTGAAATTATGCTTAAACACTGGTTCTCGTTTGATCACCGAAGTTAAGCAATGTTGAACTTAGATGGGAGACCGCAGGGAAAAGTAGCGATTTAAAAAAACAAACAAAAAAAAACAAAAAAAACAAACAAAAAACAACAGGTTGGGCATGGTGATAGCAAATTTATCCCATAAATTCCTACTATTTACATTATTCGGACTGTTATCCTCATCTTCATTGCCCAATCACCTGAAAAAGGCCGGAGCGTACAACGGCCGAAACGTTGTGAATATTCACAACGTTTCAGCCGTTGTACGCTCCGGCCTTCAAGTGATTGGAACCTAGTTCCACGTGCCATGCCTCTTCTGGATGTCACAGTTATTTTCCCTTTAACTCTTTTGGTTCACAACTGCTGTGGCCTGGTATTGAACTCGCAATTCTTTGGGTCTAGTCGCTGGATCTAACCAATGCCTTTATCTACTGGGCCGGGTTTCCTTAAGAACACCCTTTTTTATATTGCTCTCTGATTAGCAATTTCGAGCCATTATCCATGACACCACTTGGTTTTCCCAACCCACCTAGGCTCAATGTTCTTTAATTTCTGTGTGTTTCAACGTGATGTGGTCTTAAGCCCAACAACTGAACAGTTTTTATCGTTAGGAGTTGTAGAGACGTTTTGAAAGGAACTTCAGGTTGATAAACTTGAAGTTCTTTCCAAAGAAAAAAAAAAGACAGATTAATTTAACGTTTTGCTTCAGGGTAAGCATCAATGGCTGACTGTTGGTTGGTTGGATGTTTTGTTTTATGGCATATCAACCTCAGTGGGTCATTTAATGCCAACAAAGTTTTTGAAATAGATTCATAGCGATAGTTTAGTAAAAAAAAGGTATGTGTGTAATATATAAAAAAAAAAAAAAAAAAAAAAAAGTGTATGTATGTATGTATATATATATATATTATTTAATAAAAAACAGACCACTTTAAGGTACCATTTCATTGTTGGAAGTGTTACCTGATGATCCGAAATCCTTTAAAAAAGGATTTTGGTGAAATAAATTATTGTAATGGTACCTTAAAGTGGTCTGTTTTTTTATTAAATAATATATATATATATATATATATATATATATATATATATATATATATATTTTCAATTTTTACCTATATTTTTTAGTACAATCCAACTTATTTTAGGAAATTTACAATCCTGGATGATTTTATTTTCGTAAGTTTTTTTTTTTTAAATTACTCACTTGGTAATATTTTGTTTGCACTAGATCAAAATCTACACACTAACAGTATATATTTCACTGTAAATTTTAATTATTGCTGATAATTTTTCCTTCAAAAACTATTGCTAGTAATGATTTTTTTTATTACAAACTATTTCTGGTGTTAAAACCTATTTTTAGACAAGTTTGGGTGTTAACTATTTACCTATAGCCGGGACCATAACAGGTGCTACCACCCCGGGTCAGGGTGGACCTGGGAACACCAGCAATTAAAAGGTGGTTCCACGCTCCTCAAAACCTCCTGATCAGAGGCCTTGCTGCTGGATGTGGTTTATCGTCTTACCCAGGACGGAAATGCTGATGGATAAAAAGTAACGTGCACCAATCGTGGAACATAACAGCTCAACTATTTGCGCTATTGACACTCACGCTGCTGTCATCATACTTATACGTCTTTATGAAACTCGTATTGCTTGAATTGACATACATATACACACACATATATACGTGTGTGTGTGTGTGTGTGTGTGTGTGGAAAAAAAACGGGAAATGTTCGTCCCTAGCATTTGTTATAAAATAAATAACGCTTAGTGCTATTTCCACACCAGCATAGACAAAGTTGGGTAATATTTTAGTATGCGGTCTTCCGCAGTTTCCGTAATCTACGCTATGAAATGACCTTTAGCATGCAGTCTAACAGCTCATTTTACAGTTTAGCGTTCAATCTACCTGCATTTTTACTCCTCAATGTGCAGTCTATCTCAAGAACTTTATACTGCAGGATGAGAAAAACAAATTGAATAATGCTGAATAATGATTTATCATTAACGACATATACTTAACCATACAAATCAGAATATAAAAAAAGCTTAGTAGTACAATAATGGCCATTATTATGATGGAATTCATTGGAGTTACATGACCCCGATATACATTTAAAAAAAATCTGTTTCATTATTATTCTCAGTACGTTCCAGAAAATGTGATCAAAGTTAAACACTTTTCGAGTACAATGAAGTACAGGTCTGTACTTTCCACCTCCGTCACGCTTTTCTTGCAGGACACTACTACATTGATGGCAAATGGGGTCTGCTTCTTGTGGTCTATCCAGAAGATTGTTTTACTGTAAAAAAAAAAAAAAAAAAAAAAAAATGCAGCTGCTGTTTCTTCTGTTAAAATGTGGGCCACACGCTAGTTGAAACTCGGGTCGGACGGACGCTAGAGTAATACCCAAAATTGCATACGACATCACCTGTTTTGTGATGTATTTTTTATTATATTGTGTTTGGAGGTGTAATTCAGTTTAGCCTGTGCTACCGAGTATTCAGTCGAAGCCAAACTAGCGGTGCCAATGAGAGTCATTTATTTCCAGTTATTTTCCCCAAAACGAGCCAGCACAGTCAGGCAACAATGTTATAAAAATGCAGTAGTAAAGGTGTTACACTTTTAGAATAATTTTATTACTGGTACGAATCAGTTTAGTCTCTAATTCTTCTGAAAGCCGTACAAAGGTTTAAGTTTAGCTTGCCAAAATGAATCATCAAGGGGAAAATGAAATGAGTTGCTATGAGAGAACGTCAAGCCGACCAAGTAAAGTGAATTTATAATAGGCAGACGAATAAGGAGGCTTAGAAGAAAATCACGAAAAGACGCCTCGGAGGAAGCACAGAGCAGTTAAGTTGCAGGCTTAATTAACCTGTTTATTGTATATCGTGGCTGAAAAACAGCGCATATCAAGTGTGCCACCCATGGCGACGGTAGGTGGAAGATTGCGTCTCCATCTGTCATTATAGATCGGGATTCAGTCTTACTACCTCGGCTCGAAACCCTGACGAGAAAATAAAGAGAAATATTTTCTTTGCCTATGAAAAATAAAGAAAAGAAAACGGATTCCAAAAGAAAGTTTATGAAAACTTGAAGGGAAATATTTTAGATGAGCGACTGGAATTCTTTCAAATAACAGTTTGCTATTTCAACTGCATGAGCGCCGGATGCAAAACCAGATGAAGGCTTGAAACAATAGAAATTTTACGTACATAAGGGTTATTGGGAAAGATTTTAACACAGCAGTTTGTACATCCAAACGAGCCACACACACAAAGAAAAACATCCACACGCACAAGAAATCCACACACACAGAGACAAGAAAAACTACGTCCACACGCACAAGTAACGGTAAAATGAGGATTGGCTACCAATTTAGTACTGTGCTTATTCTTGTCTCCGATTAATCGTAATGTAGTGAATTACCATTACAGACAGACATAATTTAGAACAGTCAGATCTCCTACAGAATATAACGACGGAGAGTGAGAAGAAAGGACGAAGCATAAACTACAAGAAGACAGAATGCATGGTCATCAGTAAAAGGATAAGCCCAAAATGTGATTTGCATATCGTGAACACTAGAATCAAGCAGACGCGAAAGTTTAAATATCTGGGAAGCCTTTTGACAGGACGGTAAGTGCGACACTGAGATCCGTAAACGTATTGGGATGGCCAAAGATACATCCCAAAGCCTAGGCAGAGTATTGCGAAACAAGAGGATTTTTTTGGTACAAAGAAAAGAATACTGAGCTGTTACGAGACATCTGTCCTTCTTTACGGCAGCGAATGTTGGACGATTTCCTCAAAGATGAAAAGACACGAGGCGACGGAGATCTGGTTCTATAGAAGGACGCTAAGGATATCATGGGCCGAGCGTGTGAGCAACGATGAGGTCTTAGAGAGGATTCAAACAAGGAAGAGGCTTATACTTAACATCAGGAAGAGGCAACTGAAGTTCCTGGGACTCAATGAGGAAAGAGGCCTCGGAGAATCTGATACTCACAGGTCGAGTAAAGGGAAAGAGACAAGAGAGAGCAGGGCGCAACATACCTGGCGAGCTTGAGCAGGTAGATGACAGAACGTGATCTGCGGGAGAAAGCAGAGGGAAGGAATTTGCTAAGAGCTGCAAGGGATAGAAGGAGGTGGAGAGCCATGATCGCCTACATCCTGAAATAAGATGGGCGTAATAGTTTAGGCCCCAGCCGAATGGAAAAAATCTCAAATGCAGAAATCAAACTGATAAAGTTTGGCCTCAGCGAATAATGATCGACGCACATCTTCCAATAAAATTAATTTAAAAAAAGTAGATACAATCTACATTTCTATCTATCTTGTTTTAGGTAACCTAAAAAATTAGCTTTTGTTATACAGTTTGGACGCATAAAAAAAAAAAAAAAAAAAAGGTTTTATTTTGTTTGTTTTTAACAGTCAATCGTTATTAAAGTGTCCTATGTTTGCAAGTATCTATGATGATTTGTATCTAATTCCGCAAAAACCAGACACACTAGCCAATACAATTGAGTAATTGTTCATTTATTCAATTCTTGTTTTGTTTCGTACTAGACTTGAACAACTTAAAATACATGAAACGCTACAAAAATGTACTAAAGTAATTATAAAGTTATCTACAAAGATATGACGCGGTACTAATGCTGAGCTCAAATTTGAAAACACGAAACGAATAAAATATATTAGTAATACTTTCCTTCATTTTTCTCCAACAAACTTAAACTAACATTATCAAACTAAAGTGACTTTTTGGGTTATTGATGACACATCATTTACTAAGGAGTCTTTTAGAGTAGAGATACAACTGTAAGTGTCGGTGTATAAAATTCAAGATCTGATATTATCGTGAAAGAATTCTACCCACAAGGCGCAACCAACTTGTGTAAGTAAAAAAAAATAGCAATTCACCTTTGCAGTTTTTTGCACACAAAATGTAATGAATGTCGTCTTACCTTTAAGTACAGCTATTTAAGAAACTACAGTAGAATAAACGCATTCAATTCTACAAGTATCAATAAGATTACAGAAATGTAGTAAATTATGTAATGCGTAAGATGGAAAGAGTTCCATTATATTTAAAGTTTTGTAAAGATAATGAGAAACTGGAAACTCTATAAACGGCGCGTTTTGCCGAAAGAACGTCTGCTGCGTTCGGCGGCTTCAGGTGAGAATAAAAGACAAAACTTGACGAAAATAAAATGCGTTGGGATCTACAAGGACAATAGGTTGCCATAAATCAAATTACCTTATCATCTGATGACCATAAAGGTTTTATGCCTGTTATTCGTTCTATCTATATATATGTATAAAATCTATATAATAAATAAATTTCCATATAGAATATAATATTATGATAAATAATATATATTTTTAACCACAGAATATAAATTTAAAATAGGTTTAAATATTAAATATATTTATATATAGTGTTTAATATAGTGTGTTTATATTATTTTATATATATAATATAATATATATATAAATCAAAATATATAAAATATATATATATAGTAAGGAGTTTATGGATATATATAATATCAGTGAGAAAATATATATATATATCATATAATATATATATATAAATATAAAGAAATCTATATATATAATATATATATATATATAATTTAATTATTTAAAATAAAATATTATAATATTTTATATAAGTATATATATATATATATGAAAATATATATCATATATATAAAATATATATATATATATATAATATAATATATATATATAATAAAATTTTAATATATATATATTTTGTAATATAATATATATATATATATATATTATATAATAAAACGAAAAGAATAAATAATACAAAACGAAAATGAAAAACTAGTGAAATTAACGAATGCAAAATCCAGCATTCGCGGCCTGACGATGGCGACCACCATGAAACAGCCTGTCGCCTCTGAGTGTTGACTTCAATGTTCACTTTTATATTTACAAACGCTCTATCTGATATTGAGCACTTTATCACATAAATATAGCACACCTTAAAACTATATATATATATATATATATAGTGTGTGTGTATGTGTGACTAAACAGATATTATCAACTGTATATGCGTGCGATAGTGTGCTTACGCAGCTAAACAAATCCATAGCTATTTAATTTATGGTGCAAACAAAACAGTGTTCAATGTACTTAAACAGAGATCTAAAATCCACATCAATAAATACAGTTTGTAGTGCAACAATTTCATGATTTCCTAACTCGTCAGGCACATAATGGTAATTCAGCCGTTTATTACTGTAGTTTGTTTGAAAACAACTGTAATAAGCAGTTATATGCCATATGTACCTAACAAGATGTGAAACCATGAAATTAACTGCACTACAAACGCGCATTATATATATATATATATATATATATATATATATATAACATGATGCTATTCACTTCTTTGCAGAAGAAGTGAATCTTTTCACTTGGTAGCTTTTTGTGTTTTTCATTCAAAATTCTATTATTTCCATCATTTATACCTGAGCTAACGTTTTGCTCTAGGTCTTTAAGTTATTCTTAAGGCCAGCTTCACTTTTACAACCACTCTTACGCATATGGCAAACAAAATTTGTCTGTGTTACCTATGTTGAAACAACCATGTGACGTTTGAGTCCCGCAGCAAGCCTTGTCACAAAACTCGCACAAGTAACCTGCAGGTAGGTTTGCATTCACAGGAGTTTGCAAATGACATCACTGGTATGATTTCACGTGATTGGCTAAACCAGCTGCCGAGAGGATATTTTCCGCAAATACTGCTAGTGTATTGGCGCCATAATAGCTATGGGACATATTCTATTTCACCCTTCCTAATAGTGCGCTTTTTATTGGAATGCTCAATTCTTTCCTGTTCAAAATTGTTGCAGCGTTCCCAAATCGACCTTCTCCAGCAACAGTTTACCAGTCTTCACCATTAATGCCAAGAGTCTTTAGGCTACATTTAACTACATCCTTGAAACGTTTTTTGGGCTTATGAGCGGATTGATTACCATGCTCACCATAAAAAGTCTTTTGGGTAATAGGTTATCATCCATAACTGTCAGATGACCTGTCCAGAGCATTTTATTACAGAGAAGTGGTTGATCTATACTGGCTATATTTGCGCGCTGAAGGACCTTTATATCTGATGAACAAGACTGGCAATTCATATTCAAGATTCTAAGACCTTAATCTGCCTTCGATATGTCATGCATAATTTATTTGAATATGTTATCTATAGCATTAAGTTTGGATTTCAAATGTGAAATGCTCTTCACCAATCGCAGTGCCTAATGCGGTAATCATCTAATTGGTAATTTGAATACTATTGCCTACTTTACAGACGAGCATATGTTTAATGGCGTGCGGCATGTATCATCGAAAGCTGAAGTACTGTACTTTGGGTTTAGGCTTATTGTTTTGAGCTCCTTTGTCTTTAGCATAATATACGCTTATTTTGAACGTATTAGACAGACTATTTGTTCAGTAAATACGTCTTATACACCGGTTCGTCATAAAATAAATACGGTATTTTTCACGTGATTAAACGAAAAAGTCATGTTTTCTACTTCTAGGACGTTGGCGATCATGGCTCTCCACAATTTCCTGTCCTTTGTAGTTCTTAATAAATTTTATATTTTTGCTATATCTACCAAACCATGTTCCAACATCCATTTACTCAAGCTTGCTAGGTAGGTTGAGCGTTGTTTTTCTGTTCCTTAATTTGTCCCATGAGTGTAAGATTTGCCAAGCCTTCTTTCCTCGTTATGCGACCTAGAAAATTTCAACTGTCTCTTCCTGATTTTAAATCCAAGTGTCCTTGTTTCAATTTTCTGAGACATCGTTGTTGCTCTCATGTTTGGTCCATGGTATTCTCAGCATCCTTCTGTAGAACTACATTTGTATTGCTTCAAGACTTTATATGTGAGGAGATTGTTCAGCATTCTCTGCCATATAGGAGGACTGATATAACGTGACAGTTCAGTAGTCTTTTCTTGGTTTCTAATGAAATTTTCCTGATTCTTAGTTTCTTTAGCTTTTGGAAGGCATCTTTCGTTATCCAAATACGCCTTCAGCTTTCACTGTTACACTTTCCAGCCCATGTTAAAACATCCCAAGTGCTCATATTGAAATTATGTTGTTTCGCATAAATGGGCCAAATCAAACAATTAACACATAAACCATAATACTTACATTCGTGTCGCCGGGAGGTGGGCATCTTTTGAGAGGAGAATTCTTCCACTTCAATGAGCGGCTTCCGTACGTAAGTTTTCTTCTTCAAAACTGAATGCCCTTTTGTACCCTGAAAAATAAAACAAAACAAAATAGTAATAAAAAAGTAAAATAAATAGGAATATAAAAAAAAGTAAAAATAAATAAAATAGGAATAAAAAGTAAAAAAATAAATAAATAAAATAGGAATGAAAAAACATTCCGTCAAATTATAAACAAGTTCAGTTATCTTAAGTCATAGCAGAAAGCAGCTTAAACTATCAGAGCCAATGAGTTTGTAAATAAGAGTTAATTTATAAAACAAAGCATCTGAATACTTGCATTATTTACATTATTCGGACTTATCCTCATCATTTTTGCCATATTCATAACGTTTCGGCCGTTGTACGCTCCGGCCTTCTTCAGGTGATCGGAATTTCGAAACGTACCCTTTATTTAGTCAACCGGGGTAGATTGTTCTAATTCTACGTGCCATGCCTTTTCCGGATGTCTCAGTTATTTCCCTTTAACTCAACTCTCTAAGTTTTGGCACACCACTGCTGCGGTCTGAACTCACAACTCTTTGGGTCTAGTCACTGGATCTAACCAACGTCTTTATCCACTGAGCCATGCGTCCCTGAGGACACCCCGGTGGACGAAATAACGAATTCGGTCCGAAATTCCAATCACCTGAAGAAGCATTTGAATTATAGTAATTTACTAAACATAGCTTAGATGTGGGACGAGTCTGCAACTACAAAACCCCCAGTGAGCGTCCAACTCACTACTCGGTAACTGATCCAGCGAGACTAGCTTGCTAGCTACTACACCACATCGAATTGCCCAAAATTTGACTTATAGACTATTCGAATGTTTCGGAAAGATATACCGGGGCGAAGGACTATTCGTCTGGCTGAACTGACCGCCATAGTTTATCTACAGCTTTGACCAAACAAAGCAGAACCTGTGTAAACAACTGCATCTATACCAGTTATAAGTTACTAAGCTTAGTTTGTCGCAAGTATGCAATGAAGGTTAAAGTCGCCACTCATTACTAAAAGTCAACCAGACTAGTTCGTTGATAATTACTTTAGATGCTTTACATTTAGTTATCTAAACGTCCATTAATTTGAACAGCGTATGTCAGTGTCGGCAACCTACGGCACGCGTGCCTCGCCAAACAATTTCCAGTGGCACTCAGATGACATCACGAAGTCCAAACCAATAACTACTAGAACGCAAAGATGATATTTAGCTGTTTCAATTTTAATATATACTAAAGTATATCTACTATATATTACTATATAAAATATATTGTAGAACAGGTATATTGGTCTTGACTTGTATAAAAATATATATGCTGTTGGCACACTGATTTTAAAACCCTAAGTCGGCACATAGTTAGCAAAAGGTTGCCGACTCCTAGCGTATACTAACCGAATATGGTAAGTAGTTGTGCCGCTCTCCTTTGGAAGATCATAGAACACTCAAGGAGATAATTTCAAAAAGATATTCCAAGGTCAAATTCCTCGAGCATTTCATATTTGCGCATACACCTGCCGTAAGCATGTTGTTTAAACTGTTTGAAAGTTCCATCCATACCGAAGATCTCACTGTTACCTTATTCTATATGACAGAACACTTCAGAAATATTTATAGTTGCTTTATACAAAGCATCACATCTGACGGCATACAAAACGCAAACTTAAAAATAAAAATTAAAAAGAAAACTTAAAAATTTATCCTAAAACTTATACGCGAAATTGAAGCTTTTTTTTTTTTTTTTTTTTTTACAGACGATCACTTCTTAGATTGACTCAAACGACATTATCAACATCGGTACTGTAAAAGGAATTTTCATAAAGTAATGGCGACTTTCATCGGTACAGATTCAACATACCTAAATATAGTGATTTTTTTTAAGCGTAGCTCAGATGCAGCACACGGCCGAAAGTATGGGGAACTTAGTGAAGATAGTCAGTTGTAATTGATCTAGCGAGACAAGCTTGATAAACATTACACCAAGTCGATGTGTCCAATCATATCTAAATACGTCTTATCAGCTAAAATTTAAGAAAAAATAACTGAAAATAAAATACTGGTAGTAGTAAAAACTTTTTTGTTTATGCTCACATAGAGCGGAAATTTGCTTTTTATAAAAATTGTTCTGCTTTGTTTTCTATTGCAATGCTTTATGATTGCAATCTTGTAGAATACTTTTGTTTTTCTATGATTTTTTGATTTATCCTCAGCTTCAGTGCAACCTTGCTTTTTTTTTTTTTTTTTTTTACATACTGTGATTTTTTTTTTTTTTTATTACAGCCAAAAGTACTCTATCGATATATTGCTTTAACTCCACGAGCGCGCCTCTTGCGCATGCTTGGTTTCAACCTAAAATGCTGACCTGACATTGAACAAATACATTGAATCAATAGCTGCATCTATCGCAAGGAAAGTTAGTTCTCTGTGTCGCGCCAGATTTTTTTTCTCGCCTTAGTTCATCCTTCAAATCAACAATTTGTCCCTTGCACGGAATACTGCTGCCATATATGGTCTGGAACCCCCGCTATTCGTCTCGTCCTTGACAAAATCCAGAGACGGATATGCAATGTGGTCGGCTCTGATCTGGCATCTCGTCTACAATCACTTTCTCACAGACGTGCCGTCGCTTCCCTCTGTCTTTTGTATAAGTACTTTCACGGTAACTGCTCCGACGAACTACTTTCGCTGGTTCCCAAACTACATGAATTTAAGCGTGCTACTAGGTTGGCATCTTAGTCTCACCTTTTCACTGTCGAAACTGTTAAATATAGCCGTCTCTTCTACTTCATGTCTCGCCGCACTACCCGTCTGTGTAACTCCCTTTTCTCACCTGCTTCCCTGATAGCTAGAATCTTCAAATGCAATGTCAATAGATATCTTCAAATGTTTTGACCTATATTCCCGTCCTTCTCTTCATCCTTCTCTCTATCACGCCTCTTTATTCTTGCTCCCATTCTCTGTAACCCCTTTGCGTGCTAGTGACACTCCCGCCTTGCTTGGAGTGAACGGCTTTAAAAAAAAAAAAATAAATAAAAATAAAATTATATTATATATATATATATATATATATATATATATATATATATAACTTAAATACACTAGAAACGTTTCCTGAATATGATCTGTTGAAATGGGCAGAATGTCCAATATGACAGTCTTTTATGCCGTCAAATACAGCAAGATAACGTATACGTATATTGGTTTGTTTGTTTGTTGGTTGGTTGGTTTTGTTTTACGGTATATCAACCTTAATGGGTCATTTAATGCCGACAACTTTTTTTTTTTTTTTTTGGTAATATTTTTGTTTTGTCAAAAATATTTGTTTACGCATAATGTATATTGATAAATTCTTGCTTTTGCTTTTTCGACATCATTAGATTGAACTCCTTATTAGCGATTATGATAATCTTGAAATAATAAAATATAGAATAAAAATCAGATGAAAAGAAAAAAATTAGATTAAAAAATTAATAACTAAATATCCATTTAGACATTTCCCAATCTTATTTCATTATTGGGAATGTGTCAGTTTTGACGTCCCTTCATAAATTTTATATTCTGACAACGTTTTGAAACAAATGTTACATACGAATAATAATTGAACAGTTCATCCATTCGTATAAAATTATAGGACTTGTTTAGTCTAGCACAAAACCACAAGCGTAGGTCGTTCAGTTAGAATCGAACTCATGACAAGGAATGTATTTTAATCAGAATTCAGAAGTTTTGTTTTTTTTTTGTTTTTTTTTTTTGTTTTTTTTACTCCCACAGGTTTAGTGAGAAGGAAAGAGGATTTCTACATTTAATTATTTATTTTGTTGTTTATTGATAGCGTGTTTTGTCTGGGCTACTAAATATTTTTTTAATTCACCGCACGGTAGGTTGTAAATTAGCCTCGAAAAGTAGTCACCTTAAGAAACAAAGAAATGAGAATATGACGGGTTCATTTTATCAGTAAAAATAAATGTAAGCTGCATTACGTCTCCAAAAAAGTTAAAACATAATATAGTATGCCAGAAAAAAAATGACATACAGGAAACTTAGAAATGTAACAAGAAATCGTCCAATAGTATTATTTTATGTCACAATTGATCGCAATAAGTTTATATAAAATAAGTTTTATATGTGCCAATATTACCCACAGCTTCAAATATAAGAATTTTTCTTCAGTTCTAAGTTCTAATTCGAATAAAATTTAAAATTGTTATACTGGAATTTTATTTACTCTTTTTGGTTATGATGTGGGTGTAGGTAGCGTAGTAGGGATTTGTTTTCATGTTTACATTTGTGAAGGAGTTCAGAGCTTTTGTTTAGAAGTTTATCGTGTTCTGGAAAGGTAATTATTGCTATTTTCTCTCGAGACAAAAGTTATATACGAATTTTGTAGTTGTAAAGATGCTGTTTTATTACCTCCATGTTATTCTTGGCGTGTTTGCGTTTGGGATTTTGAGCTGCCAGATATGCTTTAGTAGAGTTGTGCTGTCTGCATATTTTATGTTAAATTAGATTTTATATTAACTTCCTGTTGTCTTCCATTGGCTCACTAACAAATGTAAAGTTCACCCCGCCCCATCTCTCAGCACTAAATTTTAATCTGCGAAGCTATGATTTAGTTAGTGACCCAACAGTTAGCTGAATTTTAATATGAAGTTCTCGCTGCGTAATGCTTGGGTTATGGGATTAACATAGCGCTGAATTAAGTGCATTGACAAGGGACGATATATTGAAAAAAAAAAAAAAAAAAAAATTGTACTTTTTTTCTCGTGTAGGTTACAGGTCTTATTGATATATCCATGTTACTCATTGACGTCTGAATATTGTTTACATTTTAAACGAGTTATTTTTCCATTTAGGTGTCATATCGATTGGGTACTGCTCCGATGAGCTGCTTTCGCTGGTTCCCAGACTTCATGAATTTAAGCGTTCAACTAGGCTGGCATCTCGCTCTCACTCTTTCACTGTCGAAACTGTTAAATGTAGCTGTCTCTTCTACTCCAATAGCTTCATGTCTCGCACTTCTCGCCTGTGGAACTCCCTCCCCATTTCTTG